TTTAAGTTGGACATCAGGAGGCGCTACTTCACGGTCAGGGCGGCTAGAGTCTGGAACCAGCTTCCAAGTGAGGTGGTGCAGGCTCCCACCCTGGGGGTTTTTAAGAGGAGGTTGGATGACCACCTTACTGGGGTCATTTGACCCCAGTGCTCTTCCTGCCATGGCAGGGGGTCGGACTAGATGATCTGCTCAGGTCCCTTCCGACCCTTGAAACTATGGAACTATGAAACTATATGGTTCTTCTTTACAGCACTTTCACAATATGCCTGGTTCCACAGGATAAGAAGTACTGGCTAGACTCATTATGCAGGTAAATTATTTAAAACATGCCAAAGTGTTGATGATGTTGATGGCAGGGACCTAGGTTTTAAGTTTGCTATGGAAAAATGTAGTAAAACCCAGATTATCTCATTTTAAGGAGAAAAACCCACATTTTCTCCTTTAAAGAAGAAAAATGCAGGAAACAGTGGGTTTCCTCTGTAGGCTGGCAGAGTTCCAGCTTGCAAGGGCCTTGGGGGTGTGAGAGAAGGGTGATTAACAGGGAGTGCCTTGTACGTGTGTGCACATACACACGGCCACCAGGCAGCCTGGAGAGCAGCTCCCTTCAGGTAAGTCTGATGGTGGTGGCGAGGTGGAGGGGAGCAGAAATTGAGGCCCCCATAGTGAGGGAGGGAGGAAGGGAGTAGGGCTGGGGCTGGGGCTCAGCCAGGTTGGTGTGTGGGTCCTGGGGTCCAGTGCCAGAATGTGTGGCAGGGGAGCAGGACAGAGCTGCAGGTGGCTTGTCTTGGGGGTGGCTCCCCACTGCTGCATGCACTCCTGGGGGAGCATGGGGGCACATACTCCCCAGATTTGTGTGCAGAGTGGGGGTGGTGGCAGGCTTCCTGCTGCAAGCTTCAGGCTCCCTGCCCTTCTGCCCTCTCCCAGGGCCACCTCAGCCCAGCAGGCAGAACCCAGTGCAGCAGGACAGAGCAAGGTGGAGAAGCATGGTGTCACGACTGTGAGCCCTGCGCCGCCATGGCAAGGCACTCCCTGCCTGCCCAGCAGCAGCGGGATGGGCAGCGTGGGGTTGTGTCCCTTGCTGCTGCCAGGCAGGCAGGGGGCACCTTATCATGGTGCTGCACAGCTCCCAGCATTGGCAACAAGCTTCCCTGCCTGGCCCTGCTCTGCTTTCCTGCCCACTAGGCCCTGGAGGGAGCCCACACCCTCAGCCTTCAGTCTGCATCCACTGCCCCCCCAATAAGCTCTGCTCCATTCATGCCAGCTGTGAGGGATAGGGAGCCAGGCTCTGCTTCGCTGCAGCAGCCACCTCTTCCCTCGGGTGGTAGATGGGGCTGCAGGGAGCAGGGGGCTGTAGGTCTGGTTCCCTGACCCTATAGCCCTGGCAGCTAGTGGCCCCCTCTGGCAGGGCTTCAGGGCATCAGCATATCAGGGCTGCTCAGTGCCACAAAGAAGTGGAGTGGAGACGACTGCAGCTGGACCCATGTCCTGGTGAGTGAAGAGGGCAGGGGGAGCTCTGATTTTCCATGATGAACTGATACCTATTGTAACAGGGGACCTTCTCAGGACTAGTCCACCATTGGCCTGCCCATCTGTTTCTGGGCCAACTGCCCACCTCACTCACCTGCCATGCCTTGTTTAATTAGTTCTAATTAGGCAGGAGCCTGCCCATTCTTGCCCCGATGCCAGGGGGCACTATCTGCAGCTCCATTCCTCCCCTACACCACAGTCCAAGCCTCACAGATGGCATCCACCACTGGTTTGCACTGGGCCTTTCATAAAACGTACACACAAATAGACAAACAAACACATACTGGGCTCCAAGCCCTCAGCCCCCTTGCTGGGGCTCCACACTGGGGTCTTCCACCCCTTGGGGTTCAGGTGGCTGGCCTTAGGGTCTTATAACCCCACACTGGCCCCCCACTTGTGCGTCTCACACTGCCCCTTCACTGGGGCTCACTGGGGTCTGCCGCCCCATCTGGCTCATGTGGCCAGAGCCCTGCCTGGCCCTCTGCCCTGGGGTATTACACCCTGTGAGGCTCAGGTGGCCATAGCCATGCCTGGGTCCTCCCAGGGTCCTTGCAGCCACAGGACTCGCAAAGAGCCTGGGCACTGGTCCAGGTCCTTCCACTGACCTGGGCCCTGCCTCAGGACTCCCATGGGCCTGGGCTTCCCCTGAACCATTGGAACCCACCAGAGAAGTGGGAGCTGGGGTTATTAAGGTGCCCCAACCCACCTTTTACCAGGGTGGTAACTGGCCTGGTATTTCCTGGGGGCTCCCACACCACTGGGAGCCCCACCAGACCACCCAGTCCCAGCAGGGTGCAGTTTTAGGTCATGCCCAGGACCAAAAGCATCCTACTCCTACCTGCAGATCTTGGCAGTTTAGCTAGATAATGTTTCAGCCTGCCTGCCACCAGCAAACTGCTCTGTTTATATAGGCAGCCATGGTTCGAAAATGGCCACCACAATCAACCACCTGCTGGCTGCTTGATACAGCCTTTAAATGGCTGCTTGATACAGCCTTTAAAGTGGCAGGCACCAGCAGTGCCCTGCCGTGTGTGTGTGTGTGTGTGTGTGTGTGTGTGTGTGTGTGTGTGTGTGTGTGTGTGTGTGTGTGTGTGTGTGTGTGTGTGTAGATATGT